GTACTGCACTGTACAGTGCTGTACTGTACAGTACCATACTGTACTGTGCTGTACTGTATTGTGCTGTGCTGTACTATACTGTGCTGTACTATACTATACTGTGCTGTACTATACTGTGCTGTGCTGTACTGTACTGTGCTTTACTGTACTGTACTATACTGTACTGTGCTGTACTGTACTGTACAGTGTTGTACTGTACTGTACAGTGCTGTACTGTACTGTACAGTGCTGTACTGTACAGTACCATACTGTACTGTGCTGTATTGTGCTGTACTTTCCTGTGCTGTACTGTACTGTTCTGTACTGTACTGTGCTGTACTGTACTGTGCTGTGCTGTGCTGTACTATACTGTACTTTACATTACTGTACTGTGCTGTACTGTACTGTGCTGTACTATACTGTGCTGTGCTGTACTGTACTATACTGTACTGTACTGTACTGTGCTGTACTGTGCTGTACTGTACTGTGCTGTGCTGTACTGTACTATACTGCACTGTACTGTGCTGTACTATACTGTGCTGTACTGTACTTTACTGTACTGTGCATTACTGTACTGTGCTGTGCTGTACTGTACTGTGCTGTACTGTGCTGTACTATACTGTGCTGTACTGTGCTGTACTGTGCTGTACTATACTGTGCTGTACTGTGCTGTACTGTACTGTGCTGTACTATACTATACTGTACTGTACTTTACTGTACTGTACAATACAATACAATACTGTACTGTACTGTACTGTGCTGTGCTGAGCTGTGCAAAAGAAGAAATAGAAGGTAGTTGGGGAGAATGTTATGAGTACTCTTGGGTGTTAACATTTGAGAGGATGGGTTATCATAGCAGTTGGTTGGTCACTCACACAGTAAGATGTGACCGGCTGTAAGTACACACAGTCCAAGAGGCCGCACTTATCAATTGGATCCCAATATGTATATTTATCATAAAAATTTGCTGCTATAATCTATTGTATATATGTATTTTTTTACATTACATTCATTTTTCTATACAGTAAGTTCTCGCTTAAAGTCGGGGTTACGTTCCTGAAAAGTCGACGTTAAGCGGATCAATTTTCCCCATAAGAAATAGATAAAATACGGGAGTTACGTTCCCCAGCCTCCCTTTGTCCCGTGAAATACATTACAGATACAGAAAATCATTGCCAGTTCTATAGAAAATATTATATAGAACTACAGTACTGAGTTTGTATTGGTACTCACCGATGGATGGAGGTGGTAGAGCGAGTGTGTGGTGGGTAGTGAAGCAGAGGAGGCGGATGGCGGGGTTCCTCCGCCGCTGTTTGCTCCTCATCCTGCGACGGACAAATGAATCCTGTGTTGACTGTTTGGTGCTACTCTTCTTCTCCTTATAGATCTCAGTGTAACAACCAAGACTGTCATCAATGCTGCGTTGAACCTTTGAGCTACGTTCTCTGTTTGGGTCGTCATCTATAAGGATTTGCATTGCTTGCTGGATCATGTTGAAAGATTCTGCGATCTTCTTGGAAGTTAGCGTTCGTTGAGGTTCGTCTTCTTCGTCGACGTCGTCGTCTTCAATGGGACTGTGTTCTGTTAGTTATAGCAGATCTTCGTTGGTGAGCTCTTCTGTATGGGATTCCAGGACGTCCTCCATATCCTCTGATTCCAGCTCATCAAAGCCTGCCTGTCTAGCCAAGCTGAGGATATCCCTATTCACAGCTGGGACTATGTCCGTGAATCCCGTAAAACTGTTGATGCACTCGGGCCACAATTTACACCACACACCATTCAGCCAACTTTCTGAAACCTCTTCCCATGCCTTGCCAATGTTGTCAATTGCATGAAAAATCTTGAAGCTGCGCCAATATTCTCGGATCGTAGGTCTATTTTCTTCGTCTGTAGCCTTTAGCAGTTGATTCACGGTATGCCGTAAATAATACGCCTTGAATGCTGCGATGATGCCGTGGTCCATAGGCTGCATCAGTGCTGTCATGTTGGGAGACGGGAATACAACCTTTACACTGTCATGCAAGTCGTCAAGATTGGGAGGATGAGCTGGAGCATTGTCAACGATCAGAAGAATTTTGAAGTCAAGGTTCTCCTTGGCACAGTATTCCTTCATTGAAGGAACTGCGTACACGTTCAACCACTGGCTAAATATGGCGCCGGTTGTCCATGCCTTTTTATTTGCCTTGTAGATGACAGGAAGGTGATCCTTAAAGTAACCTTTCAGGGCCCGTGGGTTGGCAGCGCGAGAAATCGGCATAGGCTTCAGCTTGAAGTAACTAGCAGCGTTTGCTTCAAGCAGCAGCGTCAAGTGGTCTTTTGCCGCTTTAAAACCTGGTGCTCATTTCTCCTCCTTGGAGATATAGGTCCTCTCAGGCTTCCTCTTCCAAAAGAGACCAGTCTCATCCATAGGAAAGACTTGCTTCGATGAGTAGCCTCCTTCCTGGCTAATCCGTTTGAATTCTGGCGGGAATGTCTCGGCAGCAACTGTATCAACTAGCAGCTTCACCAATCATCTTAATATTATGGAAGTTATACCTGCACTTAAATATTTGAAACCAGTCTCGGCTGGCCGGAAAGGTCTCTCCCTTTGATCCTTCACCCTCTTCTTCCTTTATGTCGTCAAACAAGGATCTGGCCTTATGCTGGATAACCGTAAGGCTCACAGGCGTATTGCGTTGATTCTGGTCCTCCATCCACATTGCCAGCATCTTTTCCACCTTCTCTATCACAGTGCTTCTAGTACAAGTCATCTTAGTAGCACTCGGAGAAGAACCACTTCCAGCACTAACCTTAATCTTGTCAGCGTTGGTCCCCTTAGTTCGCACCGTTGTGGGGGTTAGACCAAGCACAGCGGCTATGTCCACAGCACGTTCCCCTTTTTCAAATCGGGTTAATACATCCATTTTCGTAGCCAGGGTAATAGTCTTACGTTGCCTCTTCACTACACTAGCAGCAGTAGCACTTGGTGAGTGCTTGGAAGCCATTTCGAATGGTTAGAGTACAGTTTTAGAGCAAAAACACTAAGCACACACGAATGATGTGAAGTCGTGACAGAGACTAGCTTGGCGTCGCTTGGGGACGCTGTGATGTTCTGCGAGTGAGAGCAGCGAGCCGAACCAAGAGAGCGTAGCGCGGCCAGACAAGAGCGGGTGATGCGCTGTAGAAAGTAGTCTGTGACGACGCAAAACGACGTAGTATTGGATCACCGGGACGTTAAACGAATTTTTGGTCTCTAAAGCTCAGTGACGTAGTACCGAAACAACGTTAAGCGGGACGACGTTATGTGAGGACTTACTGTATTGTTTGACATTACTTTATTTACATTATTTGTTATGTATGGGATATTATTATTGTTTTGTATGGGCTGAGTTGTGCTTTAACTGAATTAGCACTGTTCTGACTTATGAACAGATGGACTTACCAACAGGTTCCAGGAACATAACCATTGGTAACTCAGGTACTGCCTCTACAGTATAGTACAGGGGTTCAAAGATGGGGTATGATACTGTGTTTGAGTTTGTTTACAGGAGGTGTTATGGGTGTATACATGAGACCAATGATTGCATGTAAGGTGTGACCTCCCTGAATATTTAAAAAAAAACATTTTGGAGGAGGAAGATGGATGTGTCCCCAACCCAGGGCAAGTTTTATACTGGACTTCTTAAAGGCTGACGCTTGACTTAACGCTTGTGATTTTTCGTCCCCTTGACACATTAACATATGTACACACAGATGCCTCAGACACATGACTGTATTCCACCTTTGACCTAAAAAAAGGCTACTTATGAATGGTACAGTCAGCCAAAGATCCAGCGACCCCACACTGAGTCTCGTACTGGCAGTTTTATCTGGCAGTAATTGGTAAAGTAAGGCTGTATGTAAAGGTGATTGGTGGATCTGTTTTCAACTGTATCACTGTCAGGATAAATATTAAACAATCTAAAGGTAGAATTTTTATAATAATAGACTATTCATTGTTATTTAAGATCATGAGAAGTCTCCAAATGTTCATATATTTGGTTAAATAATGAAGAAAATTTGATGTGAGAATCTTGTGGCAGTCCTCGTTCCTCGTTGTAGTTAAGTTGCCAATTCATTTATATAATTTCTTCATTATTTAACCAAATATATGAACATTTGGAGACTTCTCATGATGTTAACTACCTTTAGATTGTTTAATATTTATCCTGACAGTGATACAGTTGAAAACAGATCCACCAATCACCTTTACATACAGCCTTACTTTACCAATTACTGCCAGATAAAACTGCCAGTACGAGACTCAGTGTGGGGTCGCTGGATCTTTGGCTGACTGTATTTTGGATGAATTCACCAGTGAAATATAATGACTGGAAGGGCAACAAGAGTGTACTGTACAGCTAATTAATTGAACAAGCATGGGTTAGATATGTGTGCTATAAACTGAAGCCACTCATTTGAAAATTCAAGCCCTGTAGATTTTGATGAAAAATAGATGTGAATTTTTTTTGCTTAAATAGAAATAACTTGGAATCATTCAATCCTTAAATTTTATGCATTGAAAAGTTTACACTCACTACAGTACAGTACTCTTGAGTACAGTGTACTGTGTACATAGCCATATATTGACCAGTTTGTTGAGTGTTGATTTATGTTACTTAGTGTATACAGTACTTTGATGTTAGTTATGTGTACAGTATACACTTCATAGTTCAAATTATAATTTCATATTTACTGATATTTAATAAATAATAAACATAGCTACAGTAGTTGTTAATTGGAAAAATTTACATAGAAAAATACAGATGCAAAACCAATAATAAGAACTAATTTACTTTTGCTTTCTCAATTAAATATTTAAGTGGTAAAGTGATGCATTTATAACAGTCACTTAGATGTAGAATTTTGATAAATAATTTTTTATACAAATTCCAAGATTATCTTCAGCCTTTCATAGGAGTGTAAAGCAAAATGGACAAGATTTTTTCCTTCATATTTGAGGATGTTGTGAGTATTTGTTGATATCCACTTTTCTTTCACAGGTATGTGGATGGATGGACCTGGTCCCAGGTTTCAGGGTCATGATGTTCCTCATGGAGGACCACAGGGATCTAGAGATGGTCTTCCTGACAGGCCCTGGGATACTGATAGATCCCGGGATGGAGACAGGCCGTCTGAGATGGACAGGTACAGAGATAATGAACGTTCTCGAGATGATGACCGAACTCGTGAGATGGATCAGGACCGTTCCATGGATAGAGACCGCTCCATGGATGACCGATCCATGGATGATCGCCCTAGAAATGACCGCTCCAGGGACGACCGCTCCAGGGACGACCGTTCCAGGGACGACCGTTCCAGGGACGATCGTTCCAGAGACGATCGTTCCAGAGACGATCGCTCCAGGGACGATCGCTCCAGGGAAGACCGCTCCAGGGACGACCGCTCCAGGGACGATCGTTCGAGGGATGATCGCCCTAGAGATGATCGTTCCAGAAATGATCGTTCAAGGGACGATCGTTCGAGAGACGATCGTTCAAGGGACGATCGCTCTAGAGATGATCGTTCCAGAGATGATCGCTCTAGGGATGATCGCTCTAGAGATGACCGTTCTAGAGATGATCGCTCTAGGGGTGACCGTTCCAGGGCCGATCGCTCTCGGGACGATAGATCCAGAGATGACCGCTCCAGAGACGACCGGTCCAGAGACGATCGGTCCAGGGACGATAGATCAAGAGACAACCGGTCAAGAGACGACAGGGCACGAGACGATCGGTCCCGCGAGGATAGACCCTGGGATAACAAACCACGAGATAACGACCGTCCACGGGATAACGACAGAAGAAGCGAAAAGCGACCTTGGGAAAAATCTAGATGGGCTCCACGTGATGAGGAAGAACCTGCCGTGGAAATGGAAGACGGAGAGCCCGGCAGTTGGGATGTGTGGGCAATGATGTCTGCCGGTGATCCTCTGGCAACCAAAATGGGCGTCGGTGATGATAAACCAATGGAAGAGGAGCTTAAACAAGAAGCTACAGAGAAAGTAAATAGTTCAGAGTTGCCATCAGAACAAAATGATAATTTACCTCTGAAAGATAACGAGGAAGAAATAAAACAAAATGTTGAGAAAATCGAACTTGGAGAGGAAAATAATAAAGGTAATGCATCTATGGAAGTGGAAAGTGTACCTACAGAAGAGAAAAGTGCACCAACAGAAGTAGAAAGTACACCTGTGAAAGTGGATAGTAAACAACAGGAAGTGGAAAGTGCACCTGTACAAGTGGAACATACTCACACAGATGTGGAAAGTGCAGGTATGGAAGTGGAACCACTGGCTGAAGAGTTGAATAGTGATACTGAACTTAAAGAAAAAGTTAATATTCATGAAAATGTTCAATCTTCTCTTGGCAAAGAAACAGGTCAATCTCAGCAACAGGAGGACCCTTGCTATGGTTTCAGTGACAACGTGTTAAGCAAGGATCTCAGGTCATCCCCACCGTCATCTGTTAACAGTGACCAAGATGAAGGCAATCGTGTAGCATTACAACAGAGTACCGCCTCGCAGGAAACTGACTTGGGTGATTGTTCACGGGCCGAGTCTCGACAGTATAGCTGCATACAAGAAGAGACCCACGAGGGTAGAACTCAACAGGAAGATTCTCAGCAGCATATCTCCCATGAGGAAGATCCCCAACAGGAGAAGCCTGTACCTGCACATGATGATTACCCACTGGAAGAGCCCACACAAGGCTTGTTACAGGAAAGATATAGTCCGGAGCGTCCGTCAATAGGAGATGTTGAGGGGGATACCCCTCAACGGGATATCCACGTAGAACAAGCTGAAGAGTCTGAAGAACTGCAGAGGCATGAGGAGGATTCTTTTTCTGGTTTTGGTGCAGCTAGGGAGGATATTGATAGGGTTGTGGGTAGTCCACAAAGTGGTGGAAGTGATGACCAGCGAGAGGGTAATGCTTACGCTGATGGTGATGGCCAGGCTAATGAGGGAACTGAGGAGGGTTCTGTAATGGAGCAGGAACACGAGCAGACTGGAGAGGAAGACGATAGAGAACAAGATGAGAATGACGATGGTCAGTTGAATGAGGACTAGAAACTTTTCATGGAAGCAGTGTTTGAAATTTGTGTGCCTATGCATTCAGACAATAAGGGAGTTGTGAACAAGACACTAAATCTTAAAAGTGAACATATTGTGTAAAATTGTGAAGTGGCTTTTGAAACGTCATGCAGAGTTGTTTTGCATTGAATGTGATGCCGTTCAAATAGCATAGTTGTTTTGGCACACTTATCAGATGACTGGCTTGAGGGAAACTCCTTGGCCTTTTGATTAAATGATGTGGACAAGTAGACAATATAAATCTTGTGACTTGAGGTGTACCTGACTTTTGCTGGGATAAATGATGCCGCAAGTAACGAACCTACCTGCGATGGGTGACTGTCATGTTATTTATGTTCTTCTCAGGCGAGTGACTCTGTACCTTTTGGCTGTGATCTAGTATATGTTTTATTAAGAAAGTTTGTACAATGTTTTAACTTTTTACTCTGTTTTCATTTTAAAGTCAAATATAATAAATTTTAGACTATTTTGCATATGATGGCCTATTTCATTTGTCCAAAAGTAATTGTCTGAATGTGAAATGGGCATGCGATATCAGTGTCTTTCCTCTGTGGATTTAAATATTCAAGTATGCAAGTAATGTTGGCACAAAAAAAGCTTGATGAACAGCTGAGAATGGCTTATCAAGGTAGTGTCCATTAGGTACATGAGTCACGCTGGACGATACGACTCAGGTAGGTCAGTGACTTCGGCATCCACGCAGTCATCGATCGGCTCAGCGATGGACCCCGCATGCCCACTCAAACGTAGTGGTGCATGCAAGGTATGGTACCAAGTGGTGATCCTCAAGTGTACAGATGAAACAAGTGTACAGTGCACATCTACCAACCAGTGAATAAGTGCCCAAGTGAACGTACAATAAAAAGGGGGTGCACAAAAGCGTTTTTATGGTGTCATGCAAGTCAAGAAAGTGATTGCAATGTAATCCTGAGGAAAATGGTGCATTCTTGTGTTGTGACCTCATAAGCTTCTTTCTTTCTCCAGTTGTATGCTGTTTTTAAAGTACTTTATCTGAGAGTAAAGATATTGTTGAAGTACTGTAACAAGATATGTAAAAGTATAATGTTCTTCATCTGATTCATACAAATGAATGTAGAGGCCTTAAATTAATGTTAAATTTTCAGCCAACAGCTGTGTAAGAGAAGAAGGGCCTGAGTGGTGTGCTCTCACACTTGTTGAATCTGTATTTTATGGTGGAAGGGCCAGAACTGACCCACACTACAATCAGCTCTTGCCCTTACACCATGTTATGTATCTCTTCATGCAGTCATGTCTCAATACCTGCTATCTATGGATGCCCTATATCCTTTTTCCAGTTATTCCCTTCCTTTGCATCCATTTTGCTTTTAAGGATTTTCTTCTCATTACAATGGAATTTTCCTTTGTATTTTATGACAGTTCATTGACTTAAGTTGACTTTTAGAGAGAACCTTTGGAGCGTTTCACTTCTATTAATTTTTACATTCATTTATTTATTGTTAGTGTCAAGTAGTTTTGTTGAAGAAACATATGACCATGTCTTTATAGGGAGGTTAATAGTAGGGCAGGTTTGGAGACAAAGAAGCAATATTGACTGCATGGAATAAGATTGATTGATGTGGGCAGTTTCACAAATATAATTCCACTGTATGATAGCATAGAAGAGTTCATGCTCCAAGATATATCAGACCTATCCTACAGTACTGTAGTGCCGGTTAAGGCACTTCTCTAACTGCAATATCAAGTTTTCATCACATATGCTATTAGCATGAATCTGGAAGTTACCTATAAATGGTGATCGACGGTGTAATCGTAGGTTTAAGCTTACTAGGTAGTGTATGAGCAAGTTAATGCACCTGCCATTACTGACGACTGCCGGTGTTGGCCACGCCCCCCTACCTCTCTGCCGCTGTTACTACGACTTTTAGATTACAGAACCCAGAGGTGGCTGCAGTGGGGAAGGCATTTTGATTGTATGCTGTGCTTATTTAATGTAGTAATAAAGTGTTTGTACTCCCTAAACATTTCACTAAGCCTTGGCTGTTTTTGACAATTTCCTGCATGTTCTTGTACATGTATTTTCAGCTTACGATGTTTGGTGAAAATCTGGTACAGTGGCAGGAAAGATATGTTGATTACATAAGACTACTGTACTATACTGTGCTGTGTTATGATACATAATATATTATTACTGTACATGTACTACTCTACTTGTATTTTATGTGCACAAGAAATAATTTAATACTACATTGTTGAATTTGTTGAGCATATGAGTCCAAGGTATTGTATAATTATTTTTTTTTCCTTATATTAAGGTTGATTGAATGTTGCAAATTAGTGATTGATACTCTACAGTACTGTCTGTATATGGAAATTGACATTAGAGTTTCCACCAAAAAACTCTACTCCAAAACGAGAAATGAAGAATGAAAAATAATAATTGGGGCTAAAGAGCATAAATTAAGGTGAAATTTAGCAAGTACTACAGTTTATGGTAAACAAATTGAGCGTAAAACGAGGATAAATAATGGAGAAGAAGTTTACAGGGTTAGTAATTAAATGGTGAGGTGATATATTTCATTGGAAACTTGCTCTGAACTATACTGTACAGTACTTAGAGCTAAAGATGGGGATAAAAGTGATGTTGAGGAAATTTAAAGAAAATAAGTCATACAATGGAAGGGAAATTAATGAAAATGAAAGCAAACTAAATTAGGCCTCTACTGTAGTACCTTACTGGATGAGAGAATTAAGACTACTGTACTGTACCAATGTAATAGAAGCAAGATGGGATGGGAAGAACAATAAAGGATGAGCGGATAATGTTAAATATATTAATGGGAAAAACTAAGGGAAGGTAGAGACGTATGGATGTCTGAGCATTGGTTAAGAAAGCCCAAAAAACATTAAGAGTGGAGGGGTCTTGGTCATCAAACCTTAGGCCTGATGATTTAATTTTATGGTAATTGATTGCTTACGGAACTACTGTACAGCTTAATAATTGTTTTTATTGGTGTGGGGTGGACATTGCACGGTGGTTCAACTTTTTTTCTTGCATTCAACGACGTATTGATTTAATTTGACGGAGTGCAGGGACAATGACATAATTGGGGCGGTAATTCAATACAACAACAGTATTTTCTATGAAAATCTAATATCACAATTTTTCATAACATTTCAAATCTATACTGTACTGTACAGTACTGGTACTTTGCTGTGAGTGGATCTACCTTCTTTGTAAAGTCAATTTGGGAAGGATAAAATAATGGCACTGCCAATTTTTTTAGCTCCCAAAATTCTCAAGATTTTCTATTTGCATACTGTACTTTGACAAATATTTGGAATACTGTACTTCAAGAAAAAATAATAGGAATACGAACACCATATACAATTTTAAATTTTACCAAAGAATTTCATATAAATTTTCTTGAAACCTAACCTGTACACTAACAGGCACTGATAAGAAATCGATTTATGATGCAAAATTGAGTTATCGTCTATGTGATGTTTTAAATGCACACACACGAGTGTCGCTAGTGTCTCCCACACATCTCGTGAAATTTTGCAAATATCCAATACTACTGTACATGTATTTGAGGGGAAGTATCTGCTCGAGCAGTTTACCCAACCACATGATGCAGGGCAGTAACTGTTGCACAGGGAAATAGGGCAGAAGGAAAATTTATAAAATGGTTAAAAAATATTACTCAAAAACATTTTCAAATGGATTGATCATTTTGTTTAGTGCAAGTGTTGTGTCATACTGTACTGTACTGTACTGTACTGTACTTCATATATTTGTCGAGTGAAAAACGGTATAAGCTTAATTTACAGGGAACGATCTGACAATGCAAGGAAGGATGAAATAAAAACTGAATATTGTATAAAGGACAGGATGCCAATTGTGAATTTACTGAAAGGGAAACTAGAAATTTGGCCATCACTAGTTAAATAGCCAGGTAGTCTACACAGCCAGGTTGGCTACATAGACATCCAAGCTATTCAGCTGTGAACCCATAAACATATTACTAACTGTATCTGTGACCAGATCTACATACATAGTTAAAACAGCTTTTATCAGTAGTTTTAAGTGTATCTTTATTGCTACCCATTGTGTTACTATTGTACCTATGCTAGTAGTGTACTGGAAGCACTCTAATATTATCAGTTTATACTGTATGCTTCTCTATTAAAACATGGATCACACTACACAGACCACAAACATATAGATGTGATGTACTGCACAAGCAATATTGATTAAATATCTGAACAAGTTGTATAGATAACAACAGGGACACAACTCAATATAAGAGAGTGAAACTGAAGTTGCACATTTATGTCTTACAGGCACAACTGGATACAGTTCACAACAGGTTTTGTCAATGTCTGAAATACAGTACTGTACTGTGTCCAAAGAGCACAGATTAGAATGAGCCCAGACACGAGCAGCAGAACCAATATTTAGTTTTGGAGTTGCCTTTTGTCCAATACACTTGAGGTGATTCCACTTCAGACAACAGTCACATATTCAGCTGCTAAACTCGTATAAGTCATTGTCACACTCGACACTCATCCAGTTTTGGGTTCCTTGTTGTACAGCTGTCCATCCATCATTATCCTCTAGCCTTGAATTTGGATCACCCTTTGGAGTTGTGTCCCTGTTGTTATCTATACAACTTGTTCAGATATTTAATCAATATTGCTTGTGCAGTACATCACATCTATATGTTTGTGGTCTGTGTAGTGTGATCCATGTTTTAATAGAGAAGCATACAGTATAAACTGATAATATTAGAGTGCTTCCAGTACACTACTAGCATAGGTACAATAGTAACAATGGGTAGCAATAAAGATACTTAAAACTACTATAAAAGCTGTTTTAAAAATGTATGTAGATCTGGTCACAGATACACAGTAAGTAATATGCTTATGGGTTTACAGCTGAGTAGCCTGGATGTCTATGTAGCCATCCCGGCTGTGTTGACTACCGGGCTATTTCACGGGTGATGGCTTAACAGCCACCGCGTAGAAATCATGGACTGGAATCTTAAAATGTTAATACAGGAAGAATATTGTACTAATATTTGAGGGGAGGACATTACTTGACAATCTATTGGAGAAGATACATACCCCGAACACTGAAAATGCTGGAGCACTAGATTTAAGGTGTCACTTGGATTGAACTAAGTGACTAAAGACAAAATGCACTAAGCAGAGTCAAAAACAGTATCAAAATCCAGTTGAACACTTGAAAAATATAGGAGAGAACGTTATACATCGAGGGAGCAAAAGGAGGGCAATTAAAAGTTAGGCACCGATAACATAACTATTTCCCTTATTCAGACAAATGGCCGGAGACTCCCGAAGTTGATTTAGTAAACCCTAAAGGTGTAGTGAACGAGCCAGAGGTGGTGTTGGGGAATCACATTAAGAACCAACAAGCGGCTGTGTAGGTGGCAAGGTTACCGGGTACTGATGGTGTAGGTGGCAGGACTACCTGGTACTGGGGTAGGCAGGACTACTGGGTGCTGGTGGTGTAGGGGGCAGGGTTACTGGGTACTAGAGGTGTAGGTGGCAGGGTTACCGGGTACTGGTGGTGAGTGTGAGGGTGGCAGGGTTACCGGGTACTGGTGGGGAGTGTAGGTGGAGGTTACTGGGTACTGGTGGTGAGAGTCATGTAGGTGGCAGGATTACCAGGGTACTGGTGGTGAGTGGTGAGGTGGCAGGTTACTGGGTACTGGTGGGAGTGGTGTAGGTGGGTTACTGGGCACTGGTGGTGGAGTGGTGTAGGTGGCAGGGTTACTGGGTACTGGTGGTGAGTGGTGTAGGTGGCAGGTTACTGGGTACTGGTGGGGAGTGGTGTACAGTAGATGAATGGGTTACCGGTTACCAGGTGAGTGTGGTGGCAGGTTACCGGTTACTGGTGGTGAGTGGTGTAGGTGGCAGGGTTACTGGGTACTGGGGAGTGGTACAGTAGAGAATGGGTTACTGGTCACTGGTGGTGAGTGGTGTAGGTGGCAGGGTTACACTGGTGGTGAGTGGGTAGGTGGCAGGGTTACTGGGCACTGGTGAGTGGTGACAGTAGATGAACGGGGTTACTGGTTACTGGTGGCTGAGTGGTGTAGGCAGGGCTACTGGTGGTGAGTGGTGAGGTGGCAGGTTACTACTGGTGGTGAGTAGTGACAGTGAATGGGCTTGGTGAGTGGTGGCAGGGTTACTGGGCACTGGTGGTGAGTGGTGTACAGCAGTGAATGGGTTAACGGTTACTGGTGGTGAGTGGTGTAGGTGGCAGGGTTACTGGGCACTGGTAGAGTTGTGTAGGGTTACTGGGCACTGGTGGCGAGTGGTGTACAGTAGGGTGAGAAGGGGCTACTGGCACTGGGTGAGTGCTGTAGGTGGCAGGGTTACTGGGCCTGGGGGAGTGGATAGGTGGCAGGGGTTACCAGGTACTGGTGGTGAGTGGATGTGGCAGGGTTACTGGCACCGTGGGGAGTGGTGTAGGTGGTGGGGTTACCGGGCACTGGTGGTGAGTGGTGGCAGCAGGAATGGGTTACCGGGTACTGGTGGTGAGTGGTGTAGTGGCAGGTTTCGGGTACTGGTGGCAGGCATGGTTACCGGGTACTGGTGGTGTAGGTGGCAGGACTACCGGTACTGGTGGTGCAGGGCAGGACGGTGGTGTAGGGCACGGCCAACTGGTAGGTGGCACGGTTACTGGTTACTGGTGGGTGACTACCGGCACTGGTGGTGTAGGGGCAGGACCACTGGGTACTGGTGGTGTAGGTGGCAGGTTACTGGGTCTGGTGGTAGGTGGCAGGGGATTACTGGCACTGTGGTGTAGGTAGAAGCCATCGGGCACTGGTGGTGTAGGGGCAGGTTACTGGGCACTGGTGGTGCAGGTGGTGCAGGGTTACCGAGCACTGGGGCAGGGGCAGGCGGATTACCGGGCACTGGTGGTGTAGGTGGCAGGGTTACTGGGCACTGGTGGTGTAGGTGGCAGGGTTACCGGGCACTGGTGG